TTTTGCTGTGAAGTACAGCCAGACTTTTGACCGCTTTGCCTTGGTCATTTTTAACCTGTAGCTCTGCTCTAAAAGAACATACGTACCTGGCCCCGCCTACTATCCTCGGAAACGTAAAATGATTGGCTAGAATCTAAAGTGTATCACAGCTCAGGAAAAAAAAGCACCAAAATGTGCGCTGCTTTTTGGTCTGGTTACTACCGTTTATGTCAGAACGATACCGGTACCCATCCCTAGTTATGACCGTTTTGTCTGCCTTCTTTCTCAGGTCGTTTCCGTCAGATCGAGGTCTTGACAACAGTAGCGAACGAGTTCTTCCAGCTCTACAGTCAAGTTTCTGGGCAGCCGGTCCAGCGGATCAGCACTACGGATCAAGGTAATGACGACAACAACAACAGAAAGTCCACTGAAGGACTGTTTTAGTCTGGACCGGCTGAGCGGCGCAGAGAGTCGTGCACAAACACTAATCTGACTTCTACTGCTGTGGAGGATGTTTACAATAAAATGTACTTAATATATTACAGTGGGCTTATTTAACTGAAGTCATCAGACTAGAAAAACACTGATAAAAATCACTAGCTGAATAGTTGGGTAGCCATATACTTGATACTGAAAGCAAAGTCCATATGGTTTTTAGTCATATCTGTTCAACTTGATGCTTTAACAAGGATCACTTTACATAATAGACGATGAACAGACATTTTTAAATAAGACCTGATCAGCACCCTTGCCTTCTGACTAGGGATGGGTACCGGTATCCGGTTCTGACATAAACGGTAGTAACCAGACCGAAAAGCAGCGCACATTTCGATGCTTTTTTTTTCCTGAGCTGTGATACACTTTAGCTTCTAGCCAATCATTTTACGTTTCCGAGGATAGTAGGCGGGGCCAGGTACATACGTTCTTTTAGAGCAGAGCTACAGATTAAAAATGTCCAAGGCGAAGCGGTCAAAGTCTGGCTGTACTTCACAGCAAAATATGCAAACTCAGCAGCCTGCAACAAGTGCTTTAAGCTGATACTGTGATACTGTCAAAGGAGGTAACACCTCGAATCCGATGAAACACCTGGCGACGCATAGCATTTTTTTTTTAAAAGCCGAGAAATGCGCCGTATTTGATAGCTTGCTGCAAGACCTCACACCGAGCACATCTACTGCGGGTGGGTTGCCTGTTATCGGACCCGGAGTTAGCAACATCCCCCAAAAACACGAAGAGTAGAGTCCTGGCCCCTAGCCCTGCCAGTGTAGCAGAAATGATGAGGATGATGATGGCAGCAGCAGCCGTTCTTCTCTGCGTGAGTAGCTTAATGTTGTTCGTGTGTAATTCCCTTCACCCTGGCCAAAAAGGCTAAAATGACCAAAGAAAAAGTGGAAAACAATTAAACATGAGAGGTTTAGGACAAAGTTTGTGTTTTTTCCATTGTTTAAAAGCACTGCTTCCAGCCAAGAGTGATGCCATATATGCTCTATAGCTGCAGAAAAGGCTAACGTTGTTATCTTTTTACAAAAAACAGCTGAACATGAGAGGTTTTTGGACAAAGTTTGTGTTTTCCATTCTTTATCGGATAAAACCTAAACGATACCCATCCCTACTCCTGACAGGTGCTTTTTTTTTTTTTTTTTTTTTTAATAGTTTAATAGATATTTTAGTAGTTGTTTGACCAATATTTATGTTACTCCAGAGTGTTAGTGACTTGGCTTTTTTCTAACTTTTTATAATTGCGTCTGAGAAGTAGAGGGAGGAGCAAAAGGAGGACGAAAGGGAGGAGACGACGAGCTGTCTTCTCCTCTGAAGAAGAGGAACCCAGTAATAAACGCTGCCAAAATCCTCACGAGAAGCATTAGCAGACGCAACTTGTTCTCGTCCAACTCAGAGTCGACGGAAGCCCAAACGCCTAACCAGCAAATGCTAACCAATGGACATGAAGCTCCTGCTGACGCACCAGCGTCAGCAGAACAGGACGGATCCAGTACCAACTCTCACCACCAGGCAGAGGTGGTTAGCCCAAAACACATCCGCAAGAAAGACAACTGTCCCCTCGCGACAGTTACAGAGGAAACCAGTGGGGATGGAGAGACAGGTTCCCTAACAGACAACAGGTATCATTACTTAATGCATATAAACCAGTTTGAAGTTGTGGATGACACATATAGATCGATATTGAAGCCAGTGGTTCTCAAACTTTGTCAGACCTCAGTAATATCGGTCTGTCCAGTTAGGAATCGTATTACATTGTGAATCCATTTCACCTGCTTTAGTACAAAGAACAGTGACAGCAGGTGTGATGGAGAGGCAACAAATGAGACAAAAGGGAAATACTTAGCAAGTGGTGCCCACAGACCATTTCTAGTTTTGCTTTTTGCTACCGTTAATCCTGTAGCAAATAAGATATTAGATGGTGTCCTGGGGATCTCTTTCCAGATCTGGATCAGAGCATTAGTGAGCTCCTAGACGGTCTGTCTCTGGTTTCAGATGCACCATAACATCTCAGATGTTCTCAATTGGATTCAGGTCTGAGGAATGTGACGGCTAGTCAGTGCCATCAGTTACTGTCATTCAGGAATTGCAGACATGAGGCTGGACATTGTCCTGTACAAGGAGTAACCCAGGTGTCACTGAATCATCTCAGGTAATAGATGTGAGGATTGCATCCCCGCACATAACAGCAGTCAGAGTACTCCTTGCTAGCATGTAAAGATCTGTACCACTCTCCAAGAATAGGCTTCCAAAGACCATCATTAACCATCATAATCGCGCTGGATGATGATGCAGGCATCATTTCACATCTGGTATTTCTGGTATTCATGATTCAGTATTGACTCGTGGCCTTATCCCTTGCCCACAGAGACTCCTGCAGATTATCAGAATTAGCCTGTGCTTATTTTTTTACTTCTGAGAATCAGATTTAAAAAAAAAAAAAAAAAAAGAGCTAGTATTTTTTTTTAAAATGCCACAATTTCTCAGTGCAAACATTAGCTATCTTCTACAGTGAATAAAATATGAGTTTGAGATTTGTGAGTCAACGTATTCTGTTTTTATTTACATACAGAGTATGAACCCTTTTTGTAATTGGGTTTATAAATAGAAGTGACTAGAATGACTAACAAGAAAGTTTCCATTTAAAACTATTCCTCTGAATGACTTAAAATGTATTATTCACTGAATCACACAGAAGAAAAATATTTGTAAAGTACCTCAAATTTGGGATGTAATTTTTGTCATATTAGCATCCTGGTGCTACTCATAGCATCAGTGTTTTAATTCAAAACACGTAAGCTGCTGTTAATCTCTCTCATGTATTTATTAATAACCAATATCAGACTCTTCATGAAGTATGAAACTTCACTGCCAGCTTGAATTCATGCATCCAAAGCTGCAGTACTCATACATAAGCTCCCACTGTCCCAGTTTGCTCAGACGTCAAGCTAAGGTTATATAAATAACTGAATAACAAAATATTCTACCAGTTACTTCTCAGTTGACTAACTTCTACTTCCCATCAGACCTGAACAGCACACCACCGACCCAGACCTTCAGTCAACCAACCAGGGAACAGGGGAAGGCACTCAGGTGGTTAAAGAGGTGGAGAAAAGAAACTCCACCCCAGAGAAAGCTCCTCACACCCTGGCTCCTCCACGGCCGGCACATCTTCGCACAGAAAACGCAGACTCTTTTGAAATAGAGGAGGTACTGGTTTCTCTGGGGGCTTCATACTCCTTGGTCAAATTAGTGGGTGACCTCTTTCCATGGGCATGTTACAATGTTGTCACCAACTACTATTTAGCTGTTCCTGTGTTTGTGATGGTGTCCCAGGTTACCAAAGCCATCTCACATTTACATGTATGCTGTCGGTTCTCACAGACTGGTTCCCTTGTAGGCTGTTAGCCAGTGGGCATGGCTTGGAACGATACTCTGGGATTCAAATTCATGCAAATAAAGACAAAAATCCTCTACTTACTGTAATACGCTGGCAGAAGTGAAATTTTATGCATATTTAGGCTATACTTTAGACCTCAGAACCAGCTGTTCACAACAGCTTACGTCATCGGGGGGGGGGGGGGTTAAAAAAAACAAAAAAACTCTTGAAGACAGAAAAGGGACACATGGGTGTCAGGTAGATGAGAACCCGTGTCCACTGGTCTTTGCAGCTTTAGAAAAACGAGCTTGTTGACACACGTTGCCTGAATCTGCTCAGTGAAGCGGAGTAGTTGGTAAAAAGCCTGAGCTTTTATTTAGGGGAAGGACTTCAGTTCTTTCTTTCTCCTAAAACTCAGCCTGTTTTTGTCCTGTAGATTAACGAAGACGAGGCTAACCCACACAGGACGTCTAGATCGGGAGGTGAGCGCTGACTTGAGTTTCTGAGTGACCTTATCGTTTCACTTGCATTTTTCCTTTAAGCAAGCAGATGGTCATGTTTGTATTCAGTGCTTTTCAGTAAAATGCAAATGTGTACTGTGTCTGTGAGGGCTGACTGACTGAATGCATTTCATTCCTTGTGGAACACTCACCAAGATACGTTTGAATAATACAAAAATTTCATTGTTTAGATCAGGGGTCTCGAACTCCAGGCCTCGAGGGCCGGTGTCCCTGGAGGTTTTAGATGTGTCCTTGATCCAACACGGCTGATTTAAATGGCTAAATTACCTCCTCAACATGTCTTGAAGTTCTCCAGAGGCCTGGTAATGAACTAATCATTTGAATCAGGTGTGTTGACCCAGGGTGAGATCTAAAATCTGCAGGACACCGGCCCTTGAGGCCTGGAGTTCGAGACCCCTGGTTTAGATCGTTTTACTTGAAAATGACGTCTTGAAGAAATCCACAGCTGAAATTTCACTTCTTAACATTTTATTGTCTAAATATCTGTGGACTTTTCTGTCATTAACACAGACTCCCTGTTAAGGTGGATTCTGTTAGAGCCCGTTATGAACATTGTTGTTTATCTTCATTGTCCATATAGTCACACCATTGTTTGTAAGAAGCGTGAGCCCATCTTTTAATCCTTAACTAGCCAGATCGAGTACATAAAACTATATATAGTTCACTGGAGTTCCAAATCAAACACTCCTATTGATGCTTGAATCTGATGATGCTTTAAATATGCAACATGATAAGATCTCATAGAAAAACATTGTTGAAATCTTAAAAGAACTCTTTCATTATAAATGGGGGGAAAAATTGGTGGGGCTTTTTTATTTATAGGATTTCTAACAGAACGTCAGAAAGTCTTGTTTTAAATTCTTTAACTGCTTGGTAGTAAATCATGCAACAAACCAGTGGAGTGTCGTTTTTTTTCCCCAATTAAAATTCAGAGTTCAGCAGCTTCCTGCAGCCCTTCTTTATCTGCTTTGATCCACTTAAAAGCCTTGTCTTTCTTTCCATCTTAATGTGTTTTTATTCGGTATGAACTAAGAATCTCGTTTCCTTTAGACATAGAATTTCTACACAGCTTCTTGTTGCACGCTAACATGTTTTCTATGAATGATTCTGCTCTGCCACCTGCAGGTCAGATCGGGTAATGCAGGAAGAAATAAAGCTGTTTATTTCCCCTTTCTCTCTTTCTAGTAGACCTCCCGAGGAGAGACAGCCTACAGTCTGACAGCAGCGGCTATGCTGAGGAGCCTTCTGCTGATCTCAACAGCCACCTTAAGGTCTGTTTGTGTGTTTCTCATTCTTTTTTTTTTTTTTTAAGTCTCTTCTGTGCATCCCTCCTATTTTTCTTTTTCATGACCGTCACCTTCAGACTTATTTGAAATGAATCATGAAAAACCAGACAAAACTTAGTCAAAGCAGGAGAAGAATCACAAGCAGCGTAATCAAATCTGGCCTAGAACGCTTATTTTATTCTCTTATTTAAAGAAAAAAAAAGTACTCCTATGTAATCTAACATAAATCAGATTTAGCAAGTAGGAACTGAGCATTCAGTGGTAAGAAAGCACCAATATAAATCAAGGTGTCCTGATTGAATAAAATAGCAGCTCTAGTGACTTTGACTCTAATTGGAGACTAAAACGTGTGCAAGTAATACGTCTTTTGGTCACACATGGGAATTTTGGATTACAAAGATTACTGCAGAGCACATTTCAAAAGTGCAACCACCAGAAAATTGCAACCACAAAAATTTAGTCACTGTAACCTGAGAATTTGATTTTGTAATGCTGTATTTTATGTTTCTACTCCTCTTCATTGTGGGGAAATACTATACTCTTTCACTATTAGTTATATATTTTTCAATATTTATGATTATTTAAGATTTAAGTATAATTTGAATTAATTGTAATCAGGTGCAGGTGAGTAGTGACAGCTGTGACAGCGAGACCACTGTGACGTCGCACCCTTCACAAGACGTGGTTACTCCCCTTGCAATGGACAAGCCAGCATTTGACCTGCCAGATGGTAGAGAGGAAGAGGCGAGGCCAGGTGAAGCTGCAGAGTCGGATCGAAGTAACAGCTCCAGGGAAGAGCACATGGATACAGAGACTTCAGAGCAGATTCCACAGTACACAGCTCACCATCTGCCCAGGAGCAGGCCAGTAGAAGTACAGCAAGATGAAACTTTGGGTAAGGAGAATGTTGAGAGATGTGACCGGACTGATCCTGATCCTGATCCTGAGTCTGCTCAGAGTATGCCTGCTGCAGAACAACAAGCACAGCCAGAGTCAAAGGAATCCCAACATGATTCAGAGCAAGGACCAGAGCACACTCAGAACCCGACAGAAACTGAAGGAGACACAGAAACATCCACAGAGAAAACGAAGCTCTACAAAGTCAAAGTAGAGCCTGTGTTCTTGGATGATGCTGAATCACTTTGTCCTGTGGCTCCAGCTTCTCTGGTCCATAGTGCTTTAGACCGAGCCAAACAGTCGAACCGTACAGCCTCCCAGAGACGTGGCATCTCCATGCAGAGGTCCTCTTCCTTGCCCTCTTCACTCCTTTCGCCCTGCAAGATTGTATCATCTGTCAGGATCCAATTTGGGCAAGGCCTGGCGTCCTGCACCCAGCCCAAGTACTCCTTTAAATACACCCCTGAGCCTGAGGACAAGGAAGAAGAAGAAGACGGAAGAGAGGAGAAGGAAGAGGAAGAAGTGGAGGAAGAATCAACCAACTGCCTGTCAACTCTGATCATAAATCCTGCCTCCTCATCTAGCTCCAAAAAAAAATCACCAGCTGTCTTTCCACCTAAGCCCATACCTCGGTATCTGATGAGGCCATCCTATTCCCTACAAAGCCCCAGCCCCCCTCCTGATTGGCCATCAGGAGTAAATGCCGAATCTTGGAGCACCCAGAGTGTTCCAGATTTGTCGTCCAATCCGCAGCAGCCTGGCCACTTCCAGCAAAACATGAATGCCTACCGAAACCAGCCAAGTTTGAATCCAGAGGAGAATCTGTTCTCTGATTCTCACCGTTCAGCTCAATACCCCTGTCCCAGTCCAAATCTTAATCAAAGATCTAACTCCAGCTCACATCCCTTCATGTCGAACCCTGCTTTGCAGTACACCCCTCCTCATCTACACGGTAGTCTTCCTAACCTCCACCATCACCATAGCCCTTCAGTGAACCACCGTTGTAGTCTAACCAGTCTCCTTCAGCCTTCAACTTCCCCAGGCCCCCAGCATGACAGCATGTCCAACTTGCATCCTCTTTCAACTCCCACATCTCCTCACCACATCCCTTCGGGTCACTTGCATCCTGGACCTTCTGGAATGTATCACCCGGTCTATAACCATCAATACAGTCACCAGCAACCCTACCAGCTCCCTCCTCAAGGCTCACAGTTTGGCTCGCCCTACTTTAGTCATCAAGGCTACAACCCGTACCTGTCATTTCCCCACCACACCCATCTCCATCCGACAGTGTCCCCAGAACACAGTCTGCATCCAGGGCTGGCTCCTCCTGGCTTCCACATAGGCATGGGTTTGGCCCTTAGCCCAGGTCACAACCTCCATCCAGGGCTTCGTGATGCTAATGCTCCAGGTCCAGGACCCGGCCAGAGCCCATCTAGCACAGAGATGCAGCTAAGGAGAGTCCTGCACGAGATCCGGGGAACAGTTCAGAGTCTGGTCAGTCCTCCTCAGTCACACTGTCTTATCACCCTGTTAATTAAGGTTTAGTCTGGAGTTTGTAGTTCTTCTTCTTATTCGGAGTTTCCCTTCTTATGTTGTTATCGCTGTTCTCCTCATCTAGAACCGAGCCGATACTCCAGACACGTTCAGTGAGCCCAGAGCAACTCTGCCTAATCACCAGGTACCGTCATCTCCTCTGATGCCTGCGTAGCTTTCTCTATTTTGGCCACATAGAACGTTTGTATGTTAAATCAATAAAACAGTGTTTGTTCCCGGATATAGCCTTCAGTATTTAAATGTTGCTTTTCGATTCCACTGAAAGAAGCAAGTGTTTTTTGGGGTTTTTTACTGGCTCATTATTTACATGTAAGAACCTTGTGTTCCATATTTACATATTTTCCATTGCATGACTGAAAACCTACACACTCTTAGTTTTCAGTGCTTGTTCTTCCAACCAGAAAGCACTGGAGCAGACCGTTGTCACTATCAGTAAATGTGTGATTCACTGTGCGCCCGTCTCTGGTTTTAGACTTTGGCAGAGTTTCAGCAGAAGAGGCGGAGCCTGAACTTGTTCCGCAGTCAGATGATGGATCTGGAGCTGGCAATCATCCGACAGCAGGCTCCGGTCTACAATCACCTGAGCCCTGCTGACAGGTGACTCACAAAAGCAAACAGAAATGTGACGGTGCCGTGACACCGCAATGCAAAGCAAACCTGGAGAGTGTGTTTGTGTGTGTTTGTTTGCAGGCTGGAGTTGGAGCAGCTTCAATCTCTGAGGTCAGCGGTCAGAGAGGAACTGCAGGAGCTCGAACAGCAGCTGGAAGACAGACTGGAGCTGACGCACCGCACGCAGCACAGAGTAAATGCACACCAGAGGATTTGTGTAAAACAGCTATTGTCATGCTTTTTGTGTTAAATTCTGGGGAAAAAAACCCTGAAACATCAGATCTGTAAAATGGCACAAATATATGTAAAAGAAAAGTGTAATGGAAGAGTACTAAAGTACAGCGACACAACAAAGGACGTGGGGCTAAAAAGCTAGGCTGGTATAAATATATAGTTAAAAAGGAGGCCTTTCATATGCTGTGACTTGTTTTCACCAGCCACCTAACCCACATGAGGATACAGCACTTCAAAGTTTACCCCTTTAAAAGTCATTAAATCAGTGCAGTTTTGCTACTGAAACTACGATATATTCCATGATACTGAAGCATAAACATAATATTTTATGTTTTTGCTAAATAATTTTGTACAAAAATTCTCAACTGATTCTGAGAGAAAAGGCAGAAGGCCTGTTATATTAGTTTGTTGTAATACTGCCATTGTTCTTTTCCTCAGGGTCTTCACAGAGACTTCAGTGTTGAAAGTCTGTCCACCGCCTCTGCGTTGAGAGCCATGGAGCCGGTCAGCGCGCGCGCACGCACACACACACACACACACACACACACACACACACACACACACACACACACACACAATGTTTTTGTTACATAAAGCTGAAAATACTAATGTCTTAACCTTTTCCTGCCCGTCTTTCCTATCTGTCCAGGTGTCAGACCTCCTCAGAGAGCAGCTCTTCCTGCAGTCAGAGATCGGCTCTGACCGCCACTCCTCCTACACAAACCCCTCCCCGAGGTCAGTCAGTCCAGTGAGAGAAGATCAAGGAGGAGGAGATGGCAAACAGAAGCAAGGAATGTATCGGGCATCGATTAATATAACCCCTGCGCCCCCTCCTCGACCCAACGTATACACTGAGGAAACTGAGGAGGAGGAGAGAGCCAGTGATGGAGCAGCATTAGCAGCAGGAGGTGGCGGCAGAGGAGAAGCACCAGAGTTGGAGGAAGGAGCAGCGGGGGAAGTCAGAGTGGATAGCCTGCAGCAGCTCATCAAAGAGGTAATGGTTTAAAGCAATTTATTCGAAGCCAAGATTGAGGTCAGGAAATTCATTTGCAGCTCAACTTTTTGGGATCACACTCTGGAATTCCTGCCCGACATATCGTAGCTTTCCTCTTTGTTAAGCGCGAGGACCAGCTGCCCAAACAATGTTGTTTGGCTCGTCTTATCTTTCATTTCATATTTCTTCTCATTTTTAGGAGATTCTTTTAAAATCGTCAGTTCTTTTCACACCTTATCTTATCCCCCTGTGCTCAACATTTCCAGAGATATAAAAGCTAGATAACAATAAAATGTTTAAAAATCTGTGTTAAAATTGTACTCAGTTTTCTGATTATATAAGGTGTCTTTGCATTAAAAGCTTAAATTAAAGGAGGATTCTCCACAACAATCTGAGGGATCAGGTCAAGTTTTTAAGCACTTTCACCTCTTCTGATTCTCGTTTTCCAGATTCGAGAGAGTGTGGCGCAAGAGGTGCGACGGGAGATCTTCAGCGAGCTCTTGGCTGCCGTTTCACCACGGCCGTCACCGCTACCCGCCAGGCAACCCCCCGTGTAGTCACAGCAACAGCAGAGCACCGCCCCTTTCAATCACAGCCTGAGAGACACCACTGTCTGTCTGTATCACTGTATAGCTGCGTAACACTGTGGAACACAATGTGTGTCTGGTACACTGTACGTCTCTAACACTGATGATGAAACATCACCTGTATGTGAATAGCCCCGCCCCCACCTGGTTGCATCTACTGTGGTGGTCTGATGCTTCTTGGCTATGGCACCCAGAGACATCAACGACATCCCTTCTTCCCTTCCCAAACTGTTGTGACCAAACAGCAGACGCACCTAACTACAACCACTGCCACTTTTGCTAGTTATGCTAGTTATACTAGTATACTAGTTTGCTCACACCTGCCAGTATGACCACTACTAATCCCAGTTCTGTCAAATCTCCTCTGATCCCAGCTGGAAATCAGATGACACTAGCAGAAGACATGTTTGGATAATTGTATTTAAAGAAATCATAGAGCTGAACTGTGCAGCTGCACATAATACTAATCACAATGATCTTGTCCGTGATCACCTTCAAAGAACAATGTAAGATTACTGAATGTAACCAACTGTGGCATCAGTGTTCAAAACCTCAGCAGTTAAAGCGTTAGTTCAGCCCAGTCGGCCACAACATTAGAACCACCGCTCATCTCGGTGCAGCGAGGACGTTGTGACAAGTGCACTGCAAACACTGCCAGGATAAACTAGGCTGCACTCCACAGCCAAACAACAACAGCAGAAAAGGATTTGGTGTCAGTGTCCTGGTGCCAGATACCACAGAACATCCCGGAGTTCATGCCCCCGTGGGTCAGAGCTGTTTTAATTACAATGATGGGCACCTAAAGCAGTGTTATGCAGATGGGTTTAATGAAGTGGCCGTTGGGTATATTTCCTCTCTTCCTGCTTTATTTTTTTTTTTTAAAGCTCTTGAATTTTCTAGAACGTCTGAAATTTTTGCTTCTGTTCCACGATGAGCATTAATTTAACTTAATTTTCTGCTGATCACAGCAGTGAAAAATGAAATTTAATAAATCTGAAAGTGAAACGGCACCTTGGTTACTCTGAATTCTCCCTGGACCTTTATTGGGAATATTTTTAGTTGTTTAAAAACAAAAAAAGCAGTGAAAACTGTTTCTGGGCATTATGTATCTGAGTATTTTTAAAGTTTTCAATTTCAAAGAGCCCATGTTATGCTCATAATATAGACTCATAATTTTATTTTGGGGGATCTATTAGAATATGTTTACATAGTGTGTTTTTTTTTTAACTTAAAACACATACAAATTTTTATATATTATAGATGACATCGTATTTAATCATTCTGCACATTCCTGCAGCTTCTCTTTCCACTGTCTAAACTGTTTCCAGCTACTTGTCCTCTGACAGCTGTCAGGGAGGCCAGTGTGTTAGACAGTAACAGAAGAACCGTATGAGCAACAAACATGTGAACTTTAATCTTAGTAACTTTCCAAACCTTACAAGTTCACACATAAGCTATACAACAGACCTAAAGGAAAGGTGGGGAAAAACAAGAACAACAGGGGCGCTTGAAGCATTTTAGTCCCGGGCTGTTCAGCAGTATATAAAATAATTCATGTCTGAAGAGCAGTTGCTTCTGACTTCAACCCTGTTTCACTTTGTCACATCGTGGAGCTGCTTTCTTTTGTTTTTTTTAAATCAGCTGGACGCTTTAAACATGAAGCAGCTGCTTCTAAGCCCCCTAAACAAACATTTGAAACATTTCTTTATGGTATGAACGCCACAGGTGAAACTCTTTGGTCCTACACAATGTTGGGGTGGAGCCAGAAAGTGGATATTTATCCTCAAGGAGACTTTTTTTCTATTATTGAATTAGGCAGAATTGAGCCTTAAAAACAAGGAAAATGCCCTAACATCCATTAAGCTGTACACTGTTAGAGACTGTAAAGATCTGCATTCCTTAATCTTTAATAATAGTGCTGAATTCTTTCCACCTTAAAATGACTCATTCCATGCACATTTCACCTTAATTGCTTAAAAAGGGTTTAAGTAGACATTTAAGAGTTTCTGATGCATCATCATCGCCTCCATCATCGTCGTCATAGTCCTCCTGCTGCTCTTCTTTTTCTGGTTGTGTGTTGCCTCCTGCTCATCAGATCATCAAAGATATTGAACAACCTAACTCCAATCACAGTACTTTTAATAATAACCCATTTTATGTTAGAGTACACTAAGTTTTGTTTATATGGATAACCTTGCTGTCATGGACTCCAGCTATTTAACAAAACACAAACAAAAAACACAAAACAAGCATTTGTATTTGACAGCTATGGAGCTGCGAGAAAAGGTGTTTTGTTTCTCTTTGGATGAGACACCAGCAGCTAGCCCCTTTTTCCAGTCTTTGTGCAAAGCTAAGCTAAAGCATCCTGTAAAATCGAGGAGTCTTTGCTTCAAGTGTTTTTGTTTGGGTTTATTTCTTTATGTCGATCATGCTCGAGCAGGTGGAGTCAGCGTGCAAAGTCATGAGATGCTTACGTTCTAGATGACAGAGATTTCTGTAAGTTGTCATGGGGACCGTGATGATGATGTGGATGATGATGTATTGGCAAGTCAGAGGGAAGAGCTTAGCGAGATTTAGCTGCGTTGGCATGTTAGTTTCACTTGTGCAATAATGTAAACATATTTTTGATCATACGGAGCTCATCTGTGGATATCTTGTTGCGATCAATGCAAACCGCATGTCTTAATACAGATAAACCTGAAACTTGCTGCTTTTATTCTGGGAAATTTGAATCTTCTGCTTGATCACAGAAGCATTAATAACCAGTTGGCAAACCTGCTTTCTTTAGCATTAAAGCCTTTGTTTATGTGGTCGCTCAGCTTTCTGCATGTACCATTAGTTATTGATGAATACAAATGTAAATGTGGGAGCTGAATGTGTTTAAGGCATCCACGGCCTAAACATTAGGTTTTATTTTATTTTTAAGTCATGTCGTTGGCTTTATGATCTTGTCGTGATTACTTTGAACTTCCACACATACTTGCATTAGGACTGAACTTACGTCCTGAAAGCTGATCTTTGTGTGTATGGACGTACGTCCTTTGTCTTTGGAAACAATATATCTAAGGTCCAAGGTGCACTCCCTAGTCATGTGAAGCTTTCAGCAACATTTAGCATCAACATAATCATCGAGCACCTGGCTCAGATGTTGTCATGTGGCATAAATATTTAGTCCAGTCCAAACTGGTATGAATTAAACTGGTATTTGTCCTTTGATTCTCTTCAGACTTTACTGAATTTGTGTTTGCAGAAAACGTTCTCTCTGTGCTCGCTGATGAGAAATCCTTCACACACTTATAATTCATTTTAATGTCGGACTGTGGGTGTCTACTCATTTCTGTTAATGTCTAATAATGATTATGTGTATTTTGTACTGATGTCTTAAATGGGATGCAAGGAGGGGACACTATAGAGATGAGAAAATAAAGATGTATTTATTTTCAGTATAGAGGAGTGGTGTACCGTGTGTTTGTGTGTGGACCTCAGAAGGATCCCATAAATACTCGATATTTAGACAGACAAGCTGAAAATTTGCCTGACAAAGACAATATTTTTGTAATTTTGCCACCAGCACAGTGGATTTGAAAACAAACAATTAAGATGTGATTGAAGTGTAGGAAATCAGCTTTACTTTGGGGATTGTTTTTTAAGATTTGCATAAATTGTTTGGGAATTATGCTTGGGAATTCCAGTTGGAACCAGGCAACTTGTGTTTACTAACACTGTGACTGCTGATAGAAGAAGCAGGATAAATTCTGAAGTGTACAGGGCTAAACCCTGTGCTCAGATTCAGCCAAACTCTATAGACAGCACTTCAGTGTAAATGGATGATGACCCAAAGCATGCTGAAAAAAACAAGTTTCTCAGTGGAAAGCAATGGGATATTCTTTAATGCCCAAGTCAGTCACCTGATCTCAACTCGGATTGTGCTATTTATTTATTAAATACAAAACTAAATGCAGAAAGACCCAAAAATAAGAAACAACTGGAGGAGACTGCAGTAAAGGCTGAGCAGAGCTTCTCAAAGGAAGAAACGCAGCATCTGGTGATATCGAGAGGATTTACTAGAAGTACAGATAGTTTTGTTTAAAAGATTGTGTTTAAAAGTATTGATTCAACTTCTTTAATCAAGTAGAAGAAAATCAATAAAATCAGGCTGTGAAATGTAATCTGAGTAGGAAAGTAAAAAGTAGGTCTTTGACAGACATTTCTACCAGCTGTTTCTGTGCAAACTAACTGAACGTCATATTATTTTAATATGATAATTAGAAAGTAATACTACTTCAAGGCAACGCAAACTTTTTTTAATTTGAATACCCATTTATTACATACCATCGTATTCTTTCTGATATAAAATTACTTTCTTTCCTCCATCACAAAATGAGGCTGCGATGGCCGGGAATCGAACCCGGGTCAACTGCTTGGAAGGCAGCTATGCTTACCACTATACCACCATCGCTGTAAACACATCTGGAATCAAGCTTCTGTTGAGTCGTCAGTTTATATGGGTTTATAAAAACAGCAAGAAGTAAGGAAATATGACCAAAAGTTGGTTTTGTTAGAAACCACAAGATTGTTTATCTTCTGTCAAATCCTACTAATCTTGCAGAGCTCCCTCACCAAAGTTTTGGGTTTTTTTGTTCTTTTTTGCCTGAATGTGAGGAATTAATTGGGATTCAGCAGGTGGAGGAACTCAAAGGTTGGTTGTAGTGGCTCAGCTCAGAGGGGAAAAGAATCACTACTCAATCATTTCTAATGTGAGCTTCAAGAGATTTTCTTTGCATACAAGCTGCGACCAGGCGTTTAGGCTCAAATCACTTTGATGTCTTAAGGCCTGCAGTGCTGGGGAATTTAAACTTCCCTCAAATATGTTAAACATAAGGTAACGGGCCTGCTGTGAAAACGAAAGGAGTAAAAAGTACAGATATCCATGTTAACATTTAAGGAGTAAAAGTTAGAAGTTATCAGAAAAATAAAAACTCAACGTGTAGGTACCTGAAAATTCTACTTAAGTACAGTAACTAAGTATTTGTACTTCGTTGCTTCCCACCTCTGATGTCCATGGGTTCTTGACTTCAAGTAGTCATTGACTGCAAAGGATTCCTATCCTTATGTTTAAAATGACGTTAGTCTGTTTAATTTGAGACTGAAACTGGGCGCTGTGTATATAAAAATCGATGTACTTCCTAGGGATGTTAACCTGCTATTGACAATGTGAGTCATCACATGAGCAAAGGTGTGAAAAATATGTGAGTCATTCCCATCACCTGGCCGACAACTGAAACCTCTGTGAGACCTTGCCCCACCCCGCCATCATGTGAGCTGTTGATCACATAAATGTGAATAGACTTAAACAGTGGATGCCGTAGACGTGTCCACAAATGCAACACAGGAGGACAAGACTCAGAGGCACACCTGCAACACCTAAGAAAGGACACGCTTCCCAGGATCCCAGTGTTCACATTTTGGACAATGATGATTGGTTTAAGAGAACAGTAAATGAGGCCGTGTATGTCCACTATGATCGACCATCTTTGTGGGTTATGACACCTCCAAAGGGACAGCCCTCCCTAGAAAACTAGACAAAACTAGACAGTTGATCTATAAATGACAAAGCCTCTTGGATGATAAGTGAAACATCCTCAAAATATCTAAAAAAGTCAAATTGCCTTCTTTTTAAGCTCTCAATATTACTGGCCAGTAAGAAGTATTACTCACAGATCATCAGGTTCTGCACACTTGGTAAAACACCTTTTTTCCACCTTAATCTTTCCATGGCCAACTCAATCACCTGATATCAGCTAAGCAGATTGTGCTATTTAGTTATTAAATACAAAACTAAATGCAGAAGGACCCAAAAATAAGAAACAACTGGAGGAGACTGCAGTAAAGGCTGAGCAGAGCTTCTCAAAGGAGGAAACACGGCATCTGGTGATATTGAGAGGATTTACTTAAGCACAAGTACAGATAGTTTTGTTTAAAAAGTACTGATTCAACTTCTCTGCTCAAGTAAAAGAAAATCAATAAAATCTTTTTACAATAAATTGTTATTTTACTTTGAATACCCATTTATTGTATACTATCGTCTTCTTTCTGACATTAAACAGGTTTGTTTTCCTCCCTGATTGCTCTGTCACAAAATGAAGCTGCGATGGCCGGGAATCGAACCCGGGTCAACTGCTTGGAAGGCAGCTATGCTTACCACTATACCACCATCGCTGTAAACACATCTGGAATCAAGCTTCTGTTGAGTCGTCAGTTTATATGGGTTTATAAAAACAGCAAGAAGTAAAGAAACATGACCAAAAGTTGGTTTTGTTAGAAACCACAAGATTGTTTATCTTCTAATCTTGAAGAGCTCCCTCACCAAAGCACAGGCCTTGGTTGGGAAATAAACAGATGTGGCAAAAGCAAAGACATTCTTTAGTTAAAAATACAGATACTTGTGTTAAAGTTAAGTACCGATCAATTGTTTTACTCAAAAGAAAATCAGTAAAATCAGGCTGTGAAATGTACTCCGTGTAAGAAATAAAAAACTAGCTCTTTGAAGGACATTTCTACCAGCTACTGTTGTGCAGAGCTAACTAAATCTCATGCTATGTTAATATATAACAATAAAACAATGTGAACACAACTCAACACATTTTTTGTTTTTTGTTTACCTGAATGTGAGGGACTAAGTGGGATTCAGCAAGTGGAGGAACTCTAATGCTGTGGTTGTAGTGACGTGGCTCAGTTCAGAGGGAAAAAGAATCACTACTCACAATCATTTCTAATGTGAGCTTCAATAGATTTTCCTTGCGTACAAGCTGCGACCAGCTGACCTGCTGCTCTTTGTGAATTTACACAACTGAATCCCACAAAATGTAAGATGTTTCATGAGATATCCTAGTTGACTTCCATTCCCTATTATACCGTCTTTATAGACAGTATAAAGTTAGTGGAATTCTGTGAATCAATCATAAACTTACATTTAGATGAATCTCTGCTACCTTTTATGTAACGTAACTATGACCATGAGCACCACAGCCTCTGTGCCCCAGTCACACACACTATTCTTTACTTTAAATCCCATTACTGCTAGCTAACATGTTTATCCTGCACTCAACTGCTAACACAAAGTTAGTATACTTAAGTTTGTTTTCCTGGACTGTTTCACAACTTCATATCATATACAAAGCTAATATGCCATTAAAAAAAAAAAGAGGGCATTACATGCAGGTTTTAAAATTTCCAATTTATCAAATACCGCTGAGCAGTACTTGCCTTTTGGTATTCTTCCTGTCTTCTCTTCCTTACATTGCTCTCCATCTCTGAGTGAACTTAACTCTTATTATGTTCTCTGCCAGTTTTACCGTTAGCAAGTGTGTGTTTGCGTGTTGAGCTTTTATAAATTTTGTGTTTGAACTGAAACACGTTACTCCTTTTATGCTCCTCTTTAGTAGCGCTAGCTAGATGCTTAAGTACCGCGGAGACTACGTCATCGTCGGGGGCCTTTTAAACCCGAGCACACTGCTATAAATAACTCAGAAACTATGTGTTTTTTCCTCTTTCATCTCTGTATGCGATAGAGTGATGGATACACCAACAGGGTTGTATTTTATGTGTTATTATTCCCTCCGTTTAGGCTCAAATCGTTTTGATGTCTGAAGGCCTGTGCTGGAGAATATAAACTTCCTTCAAATATTTTAAACATAAGGTTTAAAATATTTATTTAATAGGATTGGGGCCACTGGGGGAAAAAGTGCGCACGTCTTTTTCGTCTTCTTCTTTTCCAGAATTCTGAGAAAAAAGTCAACTGTTTACAGTTGTTGTCTTGTTTTGGGGGCGATCGTGTCTCAAGAGTTGGGAGGTCGCCTTGTAATCGGAAGGTTGCCGGTTCGAGCCCCGGCTTGGACAGTCTCGGTCGTTGTGTCCTTGGGCAAGACACTTCACCCGTTGCCTACTGGTGGTGGTCAGAGGGCCCGGTGGCGCCAGTGTCCGGCAGCCTCGCCTCTGTCAGTGCGCCCCAGGGTGGCTGTGGCTACAATGTAGCTTGCCATCACCAGTGTGTGAATGTGTGTGTGAATGGGTGGATGACTGGATATGTAAAGCGCTTTGGGGTCCTTAGGGACTAGTAAAGCGCTATATAAATACAGGCCATTTACCATTTACCATTTGTTTTCAAGCAACTGGCCCGTACTTTTCCTACCTTTAAACCTACACACACACAAAAGAAGTTTGTGTGTGTACAATTGAGGACATGAAAATTAAAAAACAACAACAAAATGAAACAATAAATGAACAAATTTCATGTGTACAAAAGGCCATGTGTGTTTATTTTATTTTATACACTTTATTTCTTGTGTTACAACTTTATTTATAAATGTTAAATCCTGAAACAAAGTTAAACTGGAAAAGAAAAATAACAACAACAAAAACAGTAAACCAAACTTCACAAGCTGCGTT